AGGGGGAACAGAGCAAGGTGGGGGACAGAGTAGGGCGAGGGGACAGAACATGGCGTGGGAAAAGAGTGCGGGGTGAACCAGGGCGAGGTGGAATTGCTATGAAAAGCGGACAAGTCCTCGAAAGAGCAATGAGAGTGGTCGAACAAAACGGAGAGGGTGGGGCGAGTCATGATGAAGAGGGACGATCCGCTGAACAGATTATGGCTGCTGAAAGCTCTACGCACGTATTTTCTGGACACAATCTACGCAATGAGATTTACTCACAATGAGATTTAGTCATTTGTTTCCTGGTCTGTTACAAAGAAAGATGCTGGAAAATAAGATTTTTTTTCTTAAAATACGTGTCATTCTATATCATATATTTAATATACGAAAGTGTTGTTTAATCACACGCTTGATTTTAATGTATAATCTGCAAACTACACGGAAATAAATAAGTGGATTTTCTTCCATCATGAACCATGGAATTAATGATTTACGAATTAAGGTAAAAACTGTACATACTTATCATGATCAAGAGGTATGATTTTGATCTTTACCTGATTTACAGGTACAATTTTTTATAATGCAATGTACTCAAAGTCTATTTCAAGATGTATATTGAACTAGCTTGCATACATGAACACACAACTGTATCAGATTAGTATCCTCACATGTAGCTGTGCGTTACTTCTCTGGAAAAAATCAATCGTTTCAGATATGATGTGTTTCGTATATGATGACATATGTTACTATATTTACGAGCTACATTAATTATTAACATATGTACATCATTGGAATATTTTGTGTTATATTTTGGAGTATTTATATTGTTTTAATATAATCTTGAACTTTTAGTACATTTGCATTTAACTAAACTTTGAATGAAGAAGTAGCATGTCAATTCAGATGCTAATTCTCAGTAATTAATGACTTATTTTGTGTTAAAACTGTTTGTGAACTTGACAACCGCACTGGCATATCATTTACATATAATTGTACGATTCGCTGAGGAAATCGTGAGTGAATGTGTGTAGATTACATATAAATATTTGTTTCCACTTGTCATGCCAAAAAAGTATCCACTCATTAAGCACGGACACATTGGCCTTGAATATAAACATGACACATGACGAATTGTACTGTACATGATGAATTGCACAACACAGGTTCACCCATGTGCGAGCAAGATGAAATCGATTTAAGTCAAAGTGCGTTCACTTCAAAACACATTTGATGAAAGTTCTTAGGGCTCTCAGACATGCCGCCACGAAAAATAAGATATTTAATAACAATACTTCGATCAAATTCTTTTGATCACCAACACCAGTATTAAATATCCAAACAACTTAACAATACTTTGTCCAAAAATACTGGGTACGCTTTAAGGAGTTTGTGATTCACCACAGCGATGAGTCTCCTAAGTCAACGAACACTCATTCCATCTCCCAAAAAAATAATATATAATATAATATACCTACAACTTAGAAAAATAGCACGATTATCTGATTATTGAACGGTTTTAGAAACCGTACGTGTTCGAGATTACCTTCCCTCGAGCGCACACACTTGTGAACAAAGCCTGTCAATGTTGGCGGAGACGTCTCGCAATAATGCAGTTCAAGACGAGATCTGCGACAGGCCCAACACAAGACGAGCGTCGTGAGCGCAGTGCTGTTAGTCTATCCGCCCGCGGAGCACGCCCGACCCTTGTGGAGCTCGTCGAAGATTGTCGAGACGTCTCGAGCTGTTGGAGAATCGATGTACGAGTTCCGAGTTGCGGGGGCAAGTCTCGACTTGTTGAAGAGTGTACACCTCTTTGTATTCACAGCCGACTCCTGCCAATCTTCTCCGTTCGCAAGTATGCGGCTTGCGGATCTCTCCAGCATGTGCAGGACGAGTGCTCCAGATTCCTTTCTCTGGGGAAACAGCTTGGCGTTTGTACGTAACTCAGACGTCCGAACTGACGTCTCGAGCAGTTGGGGGCGTGAAAGTACGAATGTGAGAGGCCGCGGTCCCTCGAGGGTTCGCCACAATGCGTAGAGGCGACTCGAGCAGCTGTGCGGTCCCGCGTGTCACAGAGGAGCTTCTCACAGAGCGTAGACGCGTCTCGAGCAGATGTGGCACCCCGTGGAGGGCGTGCTACAGGCGAGCTCGTCCCAGAGCGTAGATGAATCTCGATCATATGTTCGCTCCGGAGCGCGTGCGA